CGCCCAGAAACTGTGTGTATGCTGGTCCTACCCAATACATTTCAACCCTCACGACTCACGGTACTACCCATCTCTTCAGTATCGTATCTGGTCTGGCTACCAGTAAGACCTCCTCGTCATCATCAGTATTGCCTGCATTGGATCTTTGCCCTTTTGCCTTTTGCCCCAAAGGTTGCGTCTATCGCCATCCGTCCACTGACGGCCTCACATCATCCTTCTAGTCCATGCACTAACACCGAAAAAGTACCCCGATCGACCGACCCCTCAGTACCGAAGCCAGCCCAGCCCAGCCCGGATCATCCCCCGTCAGCTGGTGCAGGGAGTTTTCCAGTTTCCAATCGCTACGAGTTACGGTGCGAGTCGGCTGGTGCTACAGCCACGCTACTTGGGGCTGACCAAAATCCATCGCGGCTTGCCGTGGCATGACAGTGTAGCCTCAAGGTATCTTTCTTTCTTTGGTACCTAATGTGTCACTGAGTCTGCGGCCAGATTTATTTAGTTGCCAAGGGAAAAGTAGTCAGTCAGTCTCTACCTGAAATCCGGGGCATCAGTAATTCGCAGCACGCCCCCCTGCAGGCATCCATCCTAGGCACCTCACCTCACCTACAGGCAGCTCAGGACCCGCGTACAGTGGTACAGTGGAAGCTTCTCTTCTTACTTCTTCCTTATCCTCTCCTCTTCTCTTCTTTTCTTCCATCAATCTCACCCTCTCCTCCTCCTTCTAAAACTCTTGCGCCTATCTATCATCAGGCGGCCTTTTCTCTTATTGCCCAACATCGTTTATTTTCAGAGCGTCGGTTGCCGATTCTCACGACGAGTGACAACCATCTTGTCACCGCCGATTGCTAGGTTATCTCAACCACCGATAACAGCATTAACATCCTCGTCACCGCCCCAGGCTACCATATGTAAGGCTCCACCATCCGCACTCGTCATTCTTCCCTTCTCTTCATCATCCTTGTCCTTCGCGGATCGAGTACGAAGAGAATAAACCGAGATCCTAACATCCTCTTCTTTCAGCAGCCTTCCTGGAAATATCGCCAAAATGGCTTCCACCACGCATAACGCTGGTCTGGACCATGCCATCACCGTCAAGGTGATGTTCGAGGGCATCACTCGTCGCACCAAGATGCCTCTTCGGGATATGGTCCCAAGAACTCTTGAATCTAATGTATGTTGACAAATACTGCTCTTGCGTTGAGAAGTTCCAGAGGTTTTGTCATCCTACGTCGCCACCTTACCATGGAGACCAGAGTTGGCTATTCAGTAATTGATTAAGCAACAACTAACACGATATCAGATCCGTACATTCTTGCACATCCCTGGAGATGCTCAGGTTGCATTTGAGCGATACTCCGATTCTGCTGCGTCTTATGTTCTTCTTGAGGCCGAAAACATCCCCATCTACAAGCAACTCTACCGCGCCGCCAAGGCAAAGTCTAAGCTCAAGATTCGTGTTACCGTCAAAGAACAGCCCAAGATTACAGTACCTAAGCCTGTCACCGTCGAGGATGAGCATGAAACCGCCGCATTTGGTTCTTCTCCTATGGGCATGGACGAGGCTCCCAAAGAAGCTCACGAGACCTCCGCAGAGCCAAGCCCTGCACCCACTCCCGCAGCTGAGGTTCCTGCACCAACCCCAGCATCAATCATCACATCTCCCGAGACGACTCTTCCGGTCCGTATTAGCCCTCTATCGCGAACTTACAACTCTGCTCTCCTCAGTGATGCTGCGAGACTTATTGGAGAACGTCGGGATGCTCGTCTGGATTTTGAGAGCCGCCTTGCTAATCTTATGGAACGACAGTCGGTGCCAAAGCAGACCCCTCAATCTCTCCCCGTAACCAAGCATCAACGAGCCCCATTTTCTTTGCCCAAGACTGAAGGTCCCTCGTTGAACAAATGCCCTGCCATGTTCACTCACACTGGTCCTGGCTTCGCAGTCTGTTGCAACAGCTGCGAAAACAATATTCCTGATGTTCACTACCACTGTTCTACTTGTGACGATGGAGACTTTGATCTTTGCCAGTCATGTGTCGATCAAGGCATCACCTGCCATGGTCGAGATCACTGGTTGATCAAGCGCTCGACTGTTGATGGACAACTAGTCCAGAGCACCACCGAGACTATCGCCCCTAAGCCCAAGCCCAAGGCGGAGGTCAAAGTTGAGACTGTCATTGAGACCAAGGTCGAGTCTAAGATCCCACCTCCCGTTCAGACATTTCAATTGTCTAAGCCAATTTTCGAGCCCCTCGCTGCTCCTTGGGCCTCTCTCGGCATCATGCGGACATGCAACTGCTGTGTGCAAGAACACCCTGAGGCTGAGTTTCTTCATTGCACAGTCTGCGAAGACTTCGATCTCTGCCAACCATGCTTCGCTAAGGATAAGCACGGCCACCACCCCAAGCACGGATTTGCCCCTGCTGTCAAGGGAACCAAGATGCCCCATCATGTTGCAGCCAAGATGAGCCCAGGCCGTAACCATATGCACCACGCCATTTGCGATGGCTGCGACAAGTACATCACAGGTATCCGTCATAAGTGCCTCGACTGTCCTGACTGGGATTACTGTTCTACTTGCATCAAGTCTGTCAAGATCATCCACCCTGGCCACCGATTTGCGCCTATATATGAGCCACTCACTGATGTCCGTGCTCGCGCACCAGCAGCCGTCCATGTGGGCATTTGCTGCGACGGACCTCTCTGCTCCGGAAGTCAGGTGTACCCCAATTACATCCGTGGCACCCGGTACAAATGTGCTATCTGCAATGATCTGGACTTCTGTGCCAACTGCGAGGCCAGCCCCATTAACGCGCACAACAAGACTCATCCCTTGATTCAGTTCAAGACTCCTGTCCGTCATATCAGTGTTACGACAACTGGCGAGAACCAGGATGGCCAGGATATGCCTGAAATGGGTGACCACCGGAGCTCGTCCAAGTCTACTGAGACTGAAGCCACTGTCCCCAGCAACTCCATCAACCCTGTCCGCACTATCGTTGATGTGAAGCCAACTGAACCTGTTCCAGCCAAGGTTTCCGTCAAGACGCCCGAGTCTGAGGCAGAGAAGGAAATCAAGAAGGAATCTACTACTCCCGAACCCATCCCTACCCCCAAGGCGGAATTCAAGGGTGTATTCGTTCGCGAGACTATCCCTGATGGTACTATCCTTCCCCCTAACCATGTTTTCGAACAAACATGGACTCTCCGCAACGATGGCAAGGAGAACTGGCCCGCTGGCTGCTCCGTCAGATTTGTGAGCGGCGATTACATGGGCCATGTTGACTCTAATCACCCTGCCGGCATCTCCGAGCTTGTGTCTGCCTCAGAGTCTACCGTGTGCTATGCTCCTCTTGGCCCTGGTCAGGAATTTCCCTTTACTGTCCTTCTCCGGACACCCGCCCGGCCTGGCAAGGTCATTTCCTACTGGCGTCTTACAAGTCCAGACGGTGAGAAATTTGGTCACAGACTGTGGTGTGATGTTAATGTCCGAATTGTGAAGGAGGAGCCCAAGCCTGAGCCCGAGCCCGAGCAGGAGGCGAAGCAGGAGCCCGCGGGTGTTGAGGAGCCCAAGCAGGAGAATGATAGCCAAGCCTCGAGCCAGATGATTTTCCCCAAGCTTGAGAAAGAGTCACCTGTGGCTAGCATCCACGAGGCTGTTGAGCCTGTCTCTGTCGTTGAGGAGCCCAAAGAGTCAGAAACCATTGATGATGAATGGGACTATTCTGAAGATGGATTCATGACAGACGAGGAATACGACATCCTGGATGCTTCCGATGAGGAGTATCTGGAGGAGCAAAAGAAGAAACTTGCCACCAAGTAAGCGTCAATTTGATTTCTTAGGATGGGAATGGGGTTTATGGATCTGATTCTTTATTCGTTTTTACTTTGGCCAATGCTGCTTACTCCCTCTCTTTTCAATTCTGTATTATTTCTTCTGTTTTCATACGTCTGTCGTTTATTGACAACGACGATATCAAACCGGGTAGCTATGGACAAAGCCATAGCCAGATATCTAAGAACCTCTTCGTAACATGTTCGGTGAGAGAAGATCACGCTCTTTTGGTAGTTTGGACTAGGTAGCTCAGGATGCAACAATGGGATTCGGTGATTTGATAATTAAAGATTGGCTTTTCTTTCCGTTTCTAAGTGATAGCATTGTCAGATGGGTAAGATGAACCTGATGTATGTGTGAGGATGTTCTCTGTCGTGCAATATGAAATCGGCTCTGTCAAGTCTCACAGGTTGTCATCCAATCCCGTCCGTTGATTGAATGGCTGATGCTGATCTGCATCAGAAATAATGGTATGGCACGTCTTACCTAAATCTGAAATGGGCTGATGATGAACAGCCAGTGTCTTGGGAAAATCCATGATGCAGGCCGGTCACGGGACCTGCAAGATGGATGCCTTTGGTTTCGTACCAATGTTGTCGCAACCGGTTTTTGGTGCCTGAGAATTTATGATGGAGGTTCCTTATGGCCTGGCTTAGCCTGGGCGGGAGACCCACAACAACTTTTTTTGAACCAACCTAAAGAGTGGAGCGCCTGTGAAAGAGGGTCATCAGCCGCCCGCCCATAGCACGGGTGGCCCCCGGGCAGCCAAAAGGCACTGGACTGCACCTGGCGCCCAGGCCAAAACATCTCCCCCGTCGTACAACTCTTTTCATATTTTCGTTACGGTTTCCCAGGGCGACCCTGGACTGAATGCGACTGCGCTGCGTTGCCATCCATCACGCCGCACCGCTTCTCGTCAAAAAAACGGCTTCTTTAGCTGTTCCTTGACTGTTTCTCATCAATTTCTGGCCGTTGTCCTTTCTTTATTCTCCTTTTGCTACCTGGTCAGGTCACGTAACCTACCTCGACGCACGCTCTCGGGTTCTAAAAAAACGCGACCCTTTGGCCTTGGTCCTTCGATCGTGGTTCCATCGTCATCATCCTTCATCATACAAAGCTTTTCCCACCTTCAAACCCATTCGACAACCATCGACCGTCGCGCAAGATGGTCACCTTTTCTATTCCCGGCGATAACGAACTCGCCGAGGCTGGCAAGGGCACGCCTCGCCCGCGTCCTGCTCTCCCTTTTGCGAAGCGCGCCTACGTCTCAACGCCGTTAAAGAGTAGCCGTCTCGGCGTTCCGCAGAGTGCGCCAGCACGGAGGCTATTGAAGACTCGCGATGAGACCCCGTCCAGTAGCCTCAACAGATCTACCATTTCTACATCCCGTAATATCTTCAGGGCTTCTACCACCTCCGATAGTCCCTCCATCACTCCTTTCTCCCCGAACATCCCTCAGAACACCCCGAAGAAGGTGTTCGCTCCCGGTGCTACCCCCGAGCCGAACCGTGTCTATCGAGAATCGACTGCACATGCTACGCCCCGTGGTATGGCCTCCAAGACCACATCCAAGGAGCTGTTCCACATGCGTATCGAGGACCCCGATCCCGAACTGTCTGGCGAGGTTCTAACGAAGAAGATCCCTCCAGGTTGGAACTCCAAGGGCTCTATTTACGCTGACCAATTCCTCTCGCATCTCTGTCCTCCCGAGTTCGATGAAGAGCAGCGACGACAGTTTTACTGTATTCTCGATCTCCGACGACTCAAATATGCGGCCAACGAAATTTTTTCCAAGAAGGATTGGAAGCTTAATGTAATCAACTTTGCAAAGGAGTTCGAGAAGAGCAGGAGTATTATTCTGCTACGCTACGGACTCTACGAATTCCAGAATGTTAAACCTTCGCAGGATGTGCTCAAGAGATGGCGTCGTGAGCATGGTCTCCCTGAGCCAGAGGAAGAAAATGCCGAACCAACTCCTACAAAGGCCACTGCTACCAAGAAGCGCAAGGCCGATGATGATATCGCCAAAGATGCTACTGCGAACGGCTCTTCCAGCAACAACAAGCGACGTGCTCCTGGCCGTGAAGAAGATGACCAGGAACAGGATGCGCCAACTCCTGCACCCGTTCCTACTCCAGCTTCCACCTTGGGCAAGAACAAACGCAGGGCTTCCGTGAGCGATGAGGCTGATAGTCAACCCTCCAAGATGCAGAAGGGCACTGCTTCTGCCGCCAAATCTCTCTTCGAGAAGATTGCCAACAACTCAACTGCCCCCGCCGCCTCTCCCTTCAAACCTACTACCAAGCCCACTGATGATGGGCCTGCTCCTAAGCCAAACCCCTTTGCGTTCAACAAGCCCAACGGCGGCGGTAGTTCGCTTGCCCGCAGCATCTTTCAGAACCCTAAGCCCGGCAGTGCTGCTGGCGCTTCTTCTGGTGGAAACATCTTTGGCTACCTTTCTGACGCAAGCTCAGCCAAGAACAGTGGTGTTGATGCCGATGCCGAGAGTGAGGCCGACTCAGATGTCGAGGATGATAGCCAGGCGACCGGAAACAGCGACGAGCCAAGTGCGGCAGCTAGCGGCGCCGACACTGCTTCTCAGGCTGGCAGAGGCCTGTTCGGACAGAAGCCTGCCCCTGCCAGTGGCCTCGCTGCTGGATCTAGTGCGCCTGGTACTAGGGAGAGCACCCCTGGCCGAAGTCTGTTTGACCGAGTTACCAAGGATAATGATGGACAGCCGGTGCGTATTGGGGAGAAGGACGAGACAGCAGCTGAGAAGCCCGTCGACCAGACCTGGAACCCTAGTACCACCCCTATCAAATTTGCGCCATCTGGCTCTGCATCCACAAGCCAAACTACCTCTTTGTTTGGAAAGACCACCTCAGCGCCGACGAGTTCTTTGTTCGCCTCAAAGCCTCCCACTTCGAACCTATTCGGTGCCGCCAAGCAGGACAAGCCTGCGGAAAAAGAAGCAACGCCAGTCTCGGATCAGGTTGACAAGACGGGAGGTGAATCCGACAAGGAGAACGACGAGGCCCCCATGAAGTCACTGTTCGAGTCTAAGGCTTCAGCGACTCCGGCAAATTTTGGGTCTCTCTTCGCGCCCAAACCCGCTACGGCTGGAGAGCCAACAAAGCCTGCTGCTACAAGCTTATTTGGAACCAAGCCTGATGAGAAGTCCAACACTCCTCCACCCACTACCAACCTGTTTGGTACCGTAAGCAAGCTTGCTGAGTCAAGCGGTCCCTCGATGCAGTCGTCTACATTGTTTGGTGCCAAACCCACTAACAATGAAACTGCTAAGACTTCACTCTTTGGTACTCCCAGTGCAGAATCGACTACTGCTACGTCTTTATTTGGTGCAAAGCCTACAAGCACCGCCACCAACTTGTTCGGCAATGCCTCGGCGTCAACTGCCAAGCCTTTGTTTGGTGCCCCCAGCTCTGGCGATGCGACGGCGCCCAAGACTGACGCTGCTCCTCCGGCAGACAAGCCTGCTGCGGCCCCCATTTTCAGCTTTGGGGCGCCTTCCACTGGTGCTGATAAGATCAACGGTGCGAACAAGCCCCTATTTGGAGCACCTCAGTCGCCTACGTCGTCTGGTGCAGCCGCGCTTGATGGTAGTCCCATGAAGCAGGATGGACCATCACCGGCCAAGAAGGCATTCGATGGTGGAAGCACTGGGGCTTCGACCGCACCCATCTTCAGCTTTGGGGGCGCCTCTACAGCTCCTGCTGCTCCCTCATTTGGTGGTGGCTCAGGCACTTCTACACCTCTGTTTGGCGGTGCTTCAACGACACCTGCTGCTAACAATGCAGGCTCGTCTTTTGGTGCAAACTCGACCAACTCTGGAGGGTCATTCGGTTTCCAGTTTGGAGGAAACTCTGCTTCTTCATCGTTCAACAATCCGTTCTCCTCAGGCAACGATGGAGGTAACGCAGCTTCTGCCCCATCATCAGCTCCTGGAGGCATGTTCAGCTTTGGGGCCACCGCCGCACCTTCTGGAGGTTCCAATCCGTTCCAATTTGGAGGTGCAAGCAACGCCACATCGACCCCAGCCTTCGGAGCTGGCAGTAATAACAATGCTCCCGCTTTTGGAGGGGCGTCTGGATCTACCGGAGCGCCGGGGTTCAGCTTCACAGGAGCCTCGCCAGCGCAAAACTCAGTACCAACATTTGGATCCAACCAAAACGGCAACCTTCAACCGCCTGCTGGTGGTTCTACCACCGGGACCAGTAAGTCTCCTATTTTTCCACATCGGAAAATCGCCCCACTAAAGCGACGGGTGTAGACACACCGTTCAGTCTTGGGGGAGGCTCTAGCCTGGCCACAACACCAGCTGGCGGGACCCCGGAACCATCGAACCAAGCCGAAGGAGCCGCCGGAGGCGATGAAGAAGGCGAGAAGCACGAGCAGGTCAACTTGGCCGAGAACCTGGAGCAGGACGAGGATATCATGCATGATGTACGGGCAAAGGTGTTGAAGTTTGTGCCGGCCAGCGAGAAGTCGGATGACAAGAAGCCCAAGTCTCAGAGTCCGTGGTCTGTACAGGGTGTAGGAGCTCTTCGACTGCTAAAGCACAAGGAGACGAGTGTTGTTCGTCTTCTCCTGCGAGCAGAGCCCCGTGGACATATTGCTATGAACCGAGCAGTCCTCGCCGACATGTCTTACAAGGCTGACAAGAAGTACGTCAAGATGACCACGTCGAACGAGAAGGGTGATGGACTTGAGACTTGGATGATTCAGGTCAAGACGGCGGACATGGCTAAGGAGCTTGCAGAAGCTTTGGAGAAGAACAAAGTCCATAACAAGAAGAAGTAATGTGGAGGGAACTGGAGAAGAGTATATAGAAGCACACTCTGATATCAGGTGCTTACATAGAAAGGTAAGGTGCAAGGAGCAGCATTGCGGGCGTTGTCAAGCATTCGACGTTTTATATCTTCTTTTTGCGGGCAAAGTCACATTTAGGATTTTCGTGGGAATGCTCAAGCAGGCAAAGATTGACTTGATCAGTGTATGGAATACAAAAGTTGTTTTTAATAAGTTATACTGAGGGGCCTGGGAGAATCTTGATGTTTCAGTACCTAGTGATGGCATGTTTGAAGTTATAAGTTTGTCATATTGTAGTTGTAATTGAGCCATGAAACAAGAAGAAATCATCCCGAGAGGATAGTCACTGGAACATGCATAAACTGACCACCCACTTTGAAGGTCTCATGTGAATCCCTACTGGGTCAGTAATCTTGAAGAGCAAGGCAGGGAGAAGTAAGGTACTCGTCCTTTCAGGTTAATTGAGGTTCAAAATTGAAAATGACCTTAGGTAGTGAGAGCTCAGCTTAAGGCTCATGTGAAACGCGGCGGCGGGGATCAACAAGCGGGAATGCAGGCGTGCCTGTGCTGTCTGTGTGGTAGGGGAGCTGCTGCCCTGGAGGCAGAGAAGCTCAGGGCAGGTACGAGTGCGGCACGCGTCGCGTCAGTTTCCCCAAGACGATGCTCAGAGGGAAAAATGATTTGGCTCTAAAACAACAACTTTTCAGCCTCTAAACAACATGCCCAGGTAAGTTCAATCCTCCCGGCCGATGACAACCTGATTCAGATACTCACATATCAATTCTCAGAGAAATCATTACGATCCAGGCCGGGCAGTGCGGCAACAGCAGTTAGTTATAACCCATCCCCCCGCTGCTATACAGACCATTATCTGCTTCCTCGATATGCCCACATCTACGCCTCCATCTTGCGGCTTGCTCTTGCGGCCATGCGCATACAGATAAATCGAACGTTGCTGATTCTATTCGTGCACAGTTGGAAGCCAGTTTTGGCAACAGCTCTGCCAGGAACACGGCATCAGCCAAGATGGAAACCTAGAAGACTTTGCGACCGAAGGCGGTGACCGAAAAGATGTCTTTTACTACCAGAGCGACGATACGAGATACATACCCCGAGCCATCCTAATTGATCTGGAACCGAGGGTGCGTCTTGGACCATGATAACGAGGTGACCAAGTGCTAAGCAGCTTCTGTAGGTCATCAACGGTATCCAGACTGGACCTTACAGAAATATTTATAACCCCGAGAACTTTTACGTGGGCAAAGATGGCGTTGGTGCTGCCAACAACTGGGGTGATGGTTACCAGAGTGGTGAGGCGGTGTACGAGGACATCATGGAGATGATTGATCGAGAGGCAGATGGCAGTGACTCTCTTGAGGTGAGTCTTGCTTGGCCGGCTAGAACCTGTTCACTGACGCTTCATACCCCAGGGCTTCATGATGTTGCACTCAATTGCCGGCGGTACGGGATCAGGTCTTGGATCGTTCCTCCTTGAGAGGCTTAACGATCGGTTTCCCAAGAAGATCATCCAAACGTACTCGGTCTTCCCGGACACAACGAACGCGGGCGACGTTGTTGTTCATCCTTATAACAGTATCCTATCTATGCGAAGATTAACACAAAATGCTGACTCTGTTGTCGTTTTGGATAATGGTGCTTTGTCACACATTGCTGCCGATAGGTTGCATGTCCAGGAGCCTTCCTTTCAACAAACAAACCAGCTGGTGAGTGCTATAACCTCGATCTTGCCAGTTGTGCACGTTGCAAGAGCACGAGTGTGAGGACATGTGTAAGATGAAGCAAGGGCACTGACAATTATCAGGTTGCTACTGTCATGTCTGCCAGCACAACAACACTTCGATACCCTGGTTACATGCACAATGATCTTGTCAGCATCCTAGCCTCCCTCATCCCAACTCCCCGATGTCATTTCCTCATGACTGCCTACACGCCATTCACCGGTGACCAAGTCGAGCAAGCCAAGACAGTTCGCAAAACGACAGTGTTGGATGTGATGAGACGTCTACTACAGCCCAAGAACCGCATGGTGTCTACTGTTCCCGGCAAGAAAAGTTGCTACATCTCCATTCTCAATGTCATTCAGGGTGAAGTTGATCCGACGGATGTTCACAAGAGTCTGCTTCGTATCCGGGAACGACGACTGGCCACGTTCATTCCATGGGGGCCTGCAAGTATTCAAGTTGCTCTGACAAAGAGAAGTCCATACATCCCCATGAGCCACCGTGTCAGCGGTCTTATGCTCGCCAACCACACAAGTATTGCGACGGTATGCAAGATCTCCAGTTTACTCACTCCATTCGACACAATGGCTCACATAATTACAGCTCTTCAAGAGAATCCTAAGGCAGTACGATGGCATGCGTAAGCGTAATGCCTTTATGGAAGGATACAAGAAGACAGCACCGTTTTCCGAGAACCTCAACGAGTTTGATGAGGCACGGCAGGTTGTTGCAGACTTGATTGGCGAATACGAAGCTGCCGAAGACGCAGATTACCTCAACCCAGACGCAGGAGAGAAGCCCACATCTGCAGAGACGGATCGACGAGTGGCTTGAGGGAGGGAGGAGTTGAGGATGAGTTGATCATGATCGTGTCTGAGGCAGTGGGGGTTTGAAACGTCACGATTGGAAGTGGGTGTTGGATGTCGATATTTGCTTTACAGCCACTGTGCACTGCATCAATGACATTGCAGTTGGGGCGTTTTGGGTGCCAGCCTCGGTTTTGGTTCGGGTTTAGATACTTGCTTGGCTTGGTGAATCTATCGATTGACTACCCTAGCTACCTTACCTAGCTGAGTGCCTTGGTTTATCAAGGTTGATATGTCGCGTGCTGCTTGAGTCCCGAGTCAGGCTTACCAAGGAATTGACTTGGTACCTGACAGCAGCGACAGCATCACCTTGGTCGTGATCCTTGTAGTCTCCTCACCTCCCGGGGATATTGGATGGGCGTCGATCCGCGATCTGTTCTAGCGTGGCTAGCGTGGGTCGTTGAGTACTGTACAGTAATATGTATTAGTGTATGTACCTCTGAGAGATGCAGAATCTGTCAGAAACATCGTGGAACATGTACTGTAACATCAAAGATGATGTTTCGATGTGGAGAAGAGGCCGGAGCATTTTGCGCGGTGATGTTTTTGTGACGTCAGTGAATCACTGACGTCAGAATTGGGAAATGGCATCGTGATGAGTTTGTGCCTGCGTTTGCTTGGAGGGAAAGAGTGTAATTATGGAGAAGGTGAATGAGAATGAATAGATATTAAAGGACCGTTGAGAGAAGCTTCATCAGTTCAACAACATCATCATCTCCAACTCTCACAACATCACAAGACTTCTTCGTCACAACCCCAAATACCATTGAATCCAGTAAGTCAAAAGTGTCATTTCGAAATATTGAATTGTATCAGGAATAAATACTAACAATCATTCTCAGCAGCTCTCTCTCTCTCTCTCTCATCAAAATGACAAAATCCAAGGAGCAGAAGATTGCCGAGACCCAGGCCAACCTCCCTCTCCCCGAGCAGCCCCCTAGGGCTTCTGACTGGCAGTCGGCTGATGCTCGCACCGTCAACGTCGGCGCTGGCAAGCAGGAGGGCCCTATTGGCACCGACGCTGCCGCTCAGTCTGGTCTCCGTGAGCCCGCTACCAAGGGCGAGGAGGTGGACCTGAGCAACGTTGGTCGTGAAGGTATTGAGAAGCGTCAGCAATAAGTCTTCTCTTTATCTATCCTGTACAATATGAAAAGGAATGGGAGTGGAATGGGAGGAAGAGCAAGAGAGGAGGTTAATGATACCTACAAATAATCAATGAAATGGACCGCGAGCAATGAAAGCTTCGCTGCTTAACACATCAGTTTCCGTTTCCATTTCCGTGCTTGTTTCTCTCCACGGTTTTGACAGCAAAAAAGCGAGTGATTTGTACAGATATTTGGGGGCTTGGCCTACTCGGTCACCATGCGGCGTTTGAGTATTCTCTCATTGCTATCTGGATACCCAGTAGGTTGTTCTGTGTCACAGTACAGTCGCCATTCGCTGGTTCAGTACATGGAACGTAAGCACATCATCTCAAGCAAATACCCAGTCTATTGCAGTATGACAAAGTCCTGGCTTGTTAGCACCAATTGGCTTTTCCTGGCACTGCAGCCTCTAAACTCAAACCGTGAGGATGCTATGGTTCGTTGACACTCACTTATTCTACAGCTTGAAGCCACTTTACATACTGTCATGACCCTGTAATATATGCAAAGACAAGCGACACGCCGTATATTTACTTTGTGCAACCCGGCCCACCGTTGTTTAGTGTTTACACTATAGAATTTACTTGGCTGCTTGGGAGTCCGTAAGACCTACTCTTGCTTCCTCGGCGAGATGTTATCTTTTTGTGCCGCATGTTGGTTCTGATGATTAATGCATTGTATGGCATCATGAACAAACTATGCATGGACCTATTATGAGTTTCCATGGCTTGTTGGCCGCCACAGCATGTTTGCCCTAACTTCAAAAGTCCATTAGTTATAGTAGTCAGTTGGTTACCCTATGCCTAAACAAGCAGCTGAATCTCGCTCCTCGCCATGTTTTTATGTACGCTGGCTATGTTGATTTATCTAGGAACAGCGTCTATCCAAGTCTCACAATGACGTACTGTCAATAAAGACAGCTTCTGTACCAAATCACAGGAGGCTAGTAAGATACAGGACGGAGAAAGCTACGTTACAGGTTAAAAATGACCGTGTTTGCCTGAGTTCCTTTCCTGGGTTGGATACCCTAGACTCCCCTCCTCAACCACCGCGCGCCAATCTCATGATGAAACCGAAACCTCAATAAGGTCACACGTAATGCACCGCAGGGACAAACAGACCCATAGACAAACAACGATCTATCACATAACTTACGCATGTAGTCAGTCTCCAGAAGCCTTCTCCAAACAACCACCAACCATCGGCCAACTCTGTCATGCCATACCATACTATGAAGACTGCCAACCAACAAAAAACCAAAAACAACAATCAAAGGACCGAGATCTCACATGCTGCGCGGGACGAGAAAACAAAGTCTACCCACTTAGGCAACAAGGAATAGCCAAGAAGAGAAAGGGTCACATTCCCATTATACAGTCGTCACCGTCGCCATCGTAGTAATAAGCAAGGTTAGGTTTTTCCAACCACATCACCATCGTGCACGTACAAAAAAAAAAAAAAAAACACTGGATCAAAGCGGCAAAGACAAAAAGCAACCAGCGAGTCTACTTGTGATATGATCTGATGTTGAAATACGTGAACAAGATTAATTAATCATGACTACCAAAGCAAAAGAACAACGCCCTCGAGAGGACATGGTTCGAGCATCTTGAAATGTTGAAACTAGAATGATTCAATTGAGCCAATCTGAGTACTAACAACTTAGACTTAGTAGTTAGTACTTCGTTAGCTACCTCAGCTCAATTACAGTAAGAGTATAGAGTCCAAATGACATCCCAATATGGCAGGAGATTTTGAAGCTCTGCAATAGTCGGCATTGCTTTGTCTCGAGTAACTAAGTGCCAATTCAGAGAGAGACACGGCGGCCATGGCTTGTAGATGCATGCAGGTCAATCTGGCGGCTCGTAAGCCTCACCCTTCCCACGACAGGAGCATGCTCTCTCTCCCTCCCTCCCTGACTAGGTAGACCTGTACTGTATGCTCTGTGCATTGACAGTGGATTCACTCCGTATGCTGTGCGCATCCATAGCGCTGCTCACATATGCGCTGCTCGGAAACCCACCACCGATTCAGTATAGCTGTGCCCCGGAGAAGCGGCTGGGGCTCGCCCTAATCTCAGCTTCAACCCACTGGGGCCGAACAATGTCCATTGAGGGTACCAGAAAGAGGACCTCGCTCGATCTGAGTCTTGAACCAGAGGACCCTGGATCGGTCACGGAGCCGCTGTCTCGAAATTCCCACATCATCTCTTGGTTGATCTCGGGGCCTTCTAGCGCTCTGAATGACTCCGTTTCTCGACAGCGCCATCAGCGGTGAGAGCGAGCGACTGAGGCAGGGAGAGAGGGAGAGAAAAACCCTTGCCGTTGAGCCAGTTGACTGATGCGTGCGGATACTGTACGTGCGGGATCTGAGATGCAGTAATTAGCGTCTCAGCTCAGTCTTGGGCACTAACTAGACGTGACCTAATGTCCCAAGATGATTGCGAGTCAACTCACTATTGAGTTGAAACTAGCCAACCACAGCATCCATCCAGAATGATCGACACAATTACCCGAGGAGAAGTAAATCAAGGGTCCAGGGGCTTGATCTTATCAACGCCATGGCCAGCTCACGAGCCGGAGCATCAATAGTCTCGGGCAAGTCGTTCTCAACAGAGCATCCTGTCATCCCCATAGATTTGCTAGATGAATTCCATAAGGGTATCCGTATCTTTTCCCCAACGCATGGAGCCTCGTCTGGCCGAGATTGAGTTGAGTAGAACGGGCATTCTGGCCACGATGGCAACTTGTCCCAGTTGACCAAGACGCAGACTTCAGTTTCACACCCCCAGGTGCAAGCTACGGCATGGCCATGACTAGAATGTCATTTGTATCAACAAGGGTTCACCTACCTTGACGATTACTCCATTTCCACTCATGTCACACGAGAGACCAACAGGTGATGGATAGACCGCACTCAACACTTGACATGACTAAGTTGGAGTCTAGCAAGTGCATGATCTCGGACCCTTGAGATGTGTTGTCCGATACAAGGCCAAGCAAGACCCTCAAAGGGCCCGCTACGCAACTCTTTGACCTTGCGCCAGAAGCTCCACGGTAGTCAACGAGAAGGACAGCCCAGCCCTTGATCTGCGTTACAATTCCGGGGTGCGGAGCCGAAGATGAAGATGGTAATGTCTGTCCTTGACGGGTTGCCGGAATCATGTCATGAGAAACTGGAAAGGGATGCGCAAAAAGCAAATTTGCCTCGAAATGATGTCCGCATGCTAGAGGGGACTGCCCTGGCGGAAGAAGAAGAAGAAGAAGAAGAAGAAGAAGAAGAAGAAGAAGAAGAAGCAAACATTGAAGGCCACCATATACAATTCCACGCGCTAATGCAGCACTCGTGGGACGATTAGGCCACGAAACGTACGTGGAAAAAGAAAGACAGCCGTTAGAGCATGCAGATATCACCCAACGGAAACGCAGCTAGAAAATTAACCCAGAGACATGGATGAACCGTGATGGAGACTGCCGGGGCACAAGATGCGTCATGATATGGTGTGGTGATGTTCTCGCCAAAAGCTTCCTCCTGTCACGATCATGGGAATGGGAAACAAGATACTGAAAACCAAGGGCACGCTAGGTCGGCAGTTCTCCCATTTGTCTGACGCCTCTGGATCAAGCAAATCACTGCTTGGCGTGCTTCTCGAAGGTTTTTCTGGAACTGCCTATCATGCGTGGCGTTCACTATGATGCTCAGCCTGACTCATGACGATGGTCAGTGTGTTGTCTCGTGAACTGGCACGACTTACGGAGTACATAATATGTAACTTATAGTCAAGGCGTGTGCTTGATCAGGGTCATTTGGTAATTACCATTCT